TGTTAGCTAAGACAAAAGGGAAGTAACGATCCAAGCTTGTGTTCAACTAGAATTTTCCGCTTATAATATAAATTCCTTACCTTAACGTCTTCTTTGGACAAAATTTCATCCATTACCTCGTCTTGAAAGCTAGTTCTTTGTTAAAAATTGACAAATTTAACACAAAAAGAAATTATTTCAACTTACAATATCCAAATATTTAGAAGATACGAAAAAGAACATCACTTTCACTTTTGTCCGCCATATTGTTTGCATGTTTCTCCAACCTCGTCTTCATGACGAGTCTTCTCCTCCCCAGTCTACGCGTGTTCCTTCATTCAAGATGGCCGCTGAAGAGAACTGATTCGTGGCAAAATATTTAAATCAGCAGGACTAAAAGGAAGAAATGGATACCTCAGACCAAGATGATGGTCTCTTAAAGACACTGTTTAAGGAATCTTTTCAAGGTAATTGATAGATTTTCTTAGGACCTCTTAAAAAGCACTCTTATTGATCGTTTGTCTTAGTGACTCTAACAACACCTGAAAACACTCACAGTCAGCCAAATTAGCCTTTTCCTCTCTTCCATGTTATGTATTTCAGCGTTAGAGGTAATAAAGAATTATGAAAATAAATGGTATGCCGGGCTATTTGCTAATTTCTCAAATCGATCGATCACTTTTTGTTTAGTTTTTGTATGACCAAGGTTTAATAAAGTATAGTAGCAACACCACCCGACTAATCAACAATTTTGAAATAGCTCTTTTGGCATCCTGCTCCATTTCGGTTGCAAGTGACAAGTAAAGCATTACCTGATGGGCAATTGTTAACAAGTTTGATTATTTTCTGCACTTGATGTTGTCACTGTTACTCCACTTTAATCACAGATCTCATGTTATTCACTTACTTTGGATTTAGCAAAATTTGCCATAAAAGTACACAATTTACTGACAAATTGCTTTATGGTTTTCAGAGACATGGAAAGATAGTCCAGATTTTGCCTTATATTTAGCTGAACTGAGTGCTTCTAGCCTGGAAAAGTTGAGTAAGTCATACAGGAGACATGAACTTTGAGTGTACATGTACAATAGCATTTATGAAACTTATTTTTGTAATGATCAGAACAAACTTTCAACACTCCACTTTTGGAATTGTCATTCTATGGCTCAAAATTAGTTGTCTAATGCCATATATCGTACCATATATTCTGTGACAGAAAAGATCTTTATAATTTTGCAGCAAATTTACTACAAGCTCCACATGAGGCTTTTCAAAGTAAAATAACTGTAAATTGGCATTTTTACATCCGTTTTCTTATCAAGTTATGTATATTAATGAAACTTTCTTGTGGTTAATACAATGTACAATTGGACTCAAATTGAGACCAACTGTGCAAAATCACACCATTGCATAATGCCAAAAGGCCTGCAATGATCATCTATCTGGCATCCCTTTTTATTGAAAATAAAATAAGCAACCTTCCTTGATAAATCAATAAAGAAATAGTCATCATGATCTTCAATGCTATGCAACAAAAAGTCTTGAAACTTTCAATTCCTGTCCAAGGTCCCTCAAACTCTTTGTTTAGGCTCCTCACATTGCTTGTAATTGCACAATTTTTATTGAGCAAATGCCAATCAGAGCAGGGACCATTTCTTCATTTGATTGTGTAATTATTTTGTAGGCAGAGAACCAGAGAGACTAGCTGAGGAAAAGGCACAGATTTTAGAACAAACTGAGCACTTAGCCTTTCATAATTACAAGACATTCATCAAAACTGCAGAGTGCTCTAAAGAGATCTTTCATGATGTAAGTACTCAATAGTACAATAAATAGCAAAATCATGCTGCCCTTTTTTGGATGTAATTAAAGATTGAATTAAATAATTATTACTTTGTACATGTATGCAGGTAAAAAATAGTGCTTTATGCACATTTTGGTCAGGTTTTTCTTATCCAAGGAATTTTTGCAATTTTTCTGGATGTGAGCATCTGAAAAAAGCAACATGGTTTTGGGCTCACAAAACTTTGATTTTTTAAATCCTATTTATATATTTATTTATTTATTCATGTATTGTTAATCTCCACTTGTTCCAATCTTTTGATCTTTTTATCTCATTAGAACCTTTTATTTTAAAGTAAACAGTCAGCTTCCTTGTTTGCAAAATACATGACAAATTTTATTCTAAAAAGTTTGTTTCAGTGGAAAGTCATGTTGAGTCACTTTTGGACAAGCTACCAAGATTTTCTGAAANAACCAGAGAGACTAGCTGAGGAAAAGGCACAGATTTTAGAACAAACTGAGCACTTAGCCTTTCATAATTACAAGACATTCATCAAAACTGCAGAGTGCTCTAAAGAGATCTTTCATGATGTAAGTACTCAATAGTACAATAAATAGCAAAATCATGCTGCCCTTTTTTGGATGTAATTAAAGATTGAATTAAATAATTATTACTTTGTACATGTATGCAGGTAAAAAATAGTGCTTTATGCACATTTTGGTCAGGTTTTTCTTATCCAAGGAATTTTTGCAATTTTTCTGGATGTGAGCATCTGAAAAAAGCAACATGGTTTTGGGCTCACAAAACTTTGATTTTTTAAATCCTATTTATATATTTATTTATTTATTCATGTATTGTTAATCTCCACTTGTTCCAATCTTTTGATCTTTTTATCTCATTAGAACCTTTTATTTTAAAGTAAACAGTCAGCTTCCTTGTTTGCAAAATACATGACAAATTTTATTCTAAAAAGTTTGTTTCAGTGGAAAGTCATGTTGAGTCACTTTTGGACAAGCTACCAAGATTTTCTGAAACATGCAGCAATTTCATGAAGGCTGCACAAGAAATAAATAGCAGGTATAATCAAGCTGCTTTACATGTGTCTGCCTTACTTTAGTTCCTACAAAGTCTGTTCATTCATTCATCATACTTCAAAATGTAACAAAACTTGATGGCAACTGTGGTTCAAGTTAATACATTTCAGTCACAATGTCAGGCAGTTAGTCCTATAGAGTCATTAATTGAGCCAGTTATCTATTTTTTTTAATTACTCAGGTCAGTCAATGAGCCAGTTAATCAGTTAGTTTAGTAATTCAGGCTGCCTGAGTCAGTTAGTCTGGCAGCCAGTCAGTCCCTCAGTCAGCCATTCAGTCTGTCAAGTCAGTCAGTGAGTCAGTTAGGTAAGTCAGGTCAGTTATGTCAAGTCAGTCAGTCTGTCAGTCAGTCAGTCAATTTGTCAGTCAAGTCAATTAGTTAGTAAGTTAGTCAGTTTAGTAAGTCAGTCAGCCATTCATTTATAATCTAGCTTAATGAACCAGCCTGTTCTTAACATATTTAGTGAACAGCATTTAGATCAAAATATTATGTGCAATATCAAAATGACAATTGCTGTTTCACTTCTCTCACTTCTAGCCGCCATTTAAATTCTTTAACTTTAGCTCGCCATACACAGTTGCTGGAGATTCTGGAAATTTCACAGGTATGAAACAAACGTTTTGTATTCTCAGTAATCTCGGTCCTTTTTGAGATGGTCTCAGGTAATTTACTTTCATTATGAAAACCAGGCAAAAGGCACTGGTGAGCCTGAATATTACACTATGCTTGCAAGTGAGCTTCCTGTTTCCATTGATCAGAAGCAAGGGTTTTCACCAGTGAACACTTAGGGAAGGAAGCCACTGGGGAATTTGCTCAGTTTGCTCATAAGATCTCTTGCCTCTTGTTTTTGAGTGCCCAAATAATAGTAAGCTTGTTTGAAGGATAAAACAGTGTTCACATTGGGCACCTGAGCATGGTCCTGTAGTATGGTACTTGCTGGGCATTAATCCGTTAAGTCCTAAGAGTGATCAGCATCGAAATTCTCCTTGTAATATCAATTCTTTGTAAATCAGAGTGGTCATGAGAATTAGGGACATGATCACACAAGGTGAATTTGCCTGATATTTTAACGATTTCTCCCCACTACTTCTGTAGGAAATGAATAGAGGCATTACAAAGGAGAATCAAATATTGTTCTTAAGGTGTAAAGGGTTAATGTGAATATGCCCTTTTTTTGAATACCCAAGCTAGAATTTGACCTCAGCACCAATGACCAAGTACAAGAATGAGATTTTGTTTTTGGACACCAAAGTGAGAACTGGGATCCTTTGAGAACATGTTTTGCATTGGATCCGAGGCAAACTACTGCTTTGCATACCCATGACTCCCTGCTATGCTTGTGCTCCAAAATGGAATCTGACAGGGTGAAATGGGGCAAATATGTACAAAGTGACATGCCAGATACCTCTGGTGTGAACTCGACACTTTTTTGTGCTGCTACCCAGTTGCTAGTACTCAGGCACCTGGTGTGAATAGCCCCTCATAGTACAGTCCTTTACATTGGTACCATCTGTGTATAGGATGACAATAGGGAGATTTAGAATCAATTTTGTGATGTATTTTGCCTGTAGAGGCTTTTTTTCAGTACATGATGAAATAATTAGGAATGAATTCTGTTGTTATTTACAGCTTATGGATTCATGTGTTCGTAATGGATACTATGAGGAAGCCCTGGAACTATCATCGTATGTGCATCGGCTGGAAAAGAAACTCTCTAACATCCCAATCATTCAAAACATAGTGGAAGTTGTTCAGTCATCAACACAGCTAATGCTGTCTCAGCTTTTGCAACAGCTACGATCAGCTATCCAGCTGCCTGCTTGCTTGCGTGTGATTGGTTACCTCAGACGACTTGACATGTTTTCTGAATCTGAGCTCAGGATTAAGGTATTTCCGTAAATCTCAAATAAAATGTAGGCAACGTATATAAGGTTGTGTATAAACGTATATTTTCTGTAAGAAATGAACCTCACTCAACTATTACGTTAATGTGTGGCTGTCCATACATTACTTCTATTTTGTTTCGTGAGTGAATTTCAGGTACCTATGCGCATAAATTTTATGTGGGTATGCACATAAAATATTTGTGACAGTGAAAATCCACCCTTGTTTGGAACTACCGGTAAGATGAAATTTGGTGCAACCTGGCGGTGATTTTGGGAAATTGCAGTTTACTGCAGCAAGTAATACATGTACACTACAAAATGCATTACACTGGAAAACTGTTTACACACTAAACAATAACTCTGCCTTTTCTGCTGTACTCCTGGTGTTACACTGGCCCTCTCTCCCTTGATTCTCCACTCTACAAACAAATGAAAAGGGAACTGGAGCCAATATGCCTCCCGCAATTGTTTCTGGGATTGTTACTGGGGACATGTCTGTCCCATAAGTCTTTGCGGAACTTAACTCAGTCCAGTTTTCATCTGGTTTCCAAACTGGTGATTTCATACTTCACCTCTCTCAAACGTGTCCCGTAGCAAAGGTATTCCACTACTTTTCTATGATTTTGGGCCACTTACTTTAGAGGACTGTCGTTGCTTCAGAGTCATAAGTTAAAAAACAAAAATACATGAAAATCTGCTTATATGTTGGCTTCTGTCATGTAATGTCAGGGACAATACCAGTGGCAGATGCAGGGGTGGGCCCTTATTTTTAGACCAAACTGAGGCCCGAAGGGCTGAGAAAATGTTTTTTTTGGAGACCGGACCCCTCTTCAGATCTCAGGGTCTGGATGAGCAAGCCCCCCCACCCACCCCCCCCCCCCCCCCCNGCCCCCCCCCCCACCCCCCCCCCCCCCCACCCATCCTTATCTGAAGGTCTGGATTCGCCACTAGATACTGCTACTGCTACTTTCAGGTTAAGGGACATGGGGGAAGCCTTAATTGAACCCACATGGTAAAAGAGACATAAACTGGATATCGCCTTCACAACGTTTTTCTGCAATTTTAGTAATGTCAATATTAATGCAATTTTATCGTCTTGTAGTTCCTTCAAGCACGCGATGCTTGGCTTCAGAGTGTTCTGGCCTCAATTCCATCAGATGATCCTTATTACCATATTACCAAGACCATCGAGACAAGCCGTGTACATCTGTTTGATATTGTTACGCAATACAGAGCCATATTCTCCGATGATGACCCAATATTGTCAATGGAAAACGAGGACAGCCCAATGTACAGCAACCTTTTTCACTGCTGGGTTGTGCAGAAGGTGCGCTATATTGAATGCCTCTGGTAAAATGAACCTTCGACTAGGGTGTTTAAGTAGAGAGCGATTTTCGTATGACCCTGAAATATGGTTTCGGTAACTAAGTGTTTGTCATTTGCTTTATCGGCCAATAGATGAACAGATCAAAACATGGTTCTTTCGTTTTCCCGCCAAAGAAAACCCTAATATGGAGAAGGCATTGTTCGATTGGCCAATCGTGTTGCAGTATGACGTCTAAGCGAAGTACCGTTTGATTTCTAGAAAGTTCTAGGGCATGAAGCTTTTTTCACCCTAGCGTTCGCTTAACTAACAAAAAGCCACGCGAGTTTGTATCCGTTCGATGACGCAATCAAATGGCTCTATTTCTGTATGTTTGTTTTTTCTGTTTTGTTCTCGCGTTTTCATTTCAAGGTCATACGGAAATCACTGTAAGATTGTGATAGCGATATGTATGAGTCGAGCTGTGTCTATTGGGCTTAAAGTAATAAATGCCAAGTTAGAAGGTACTCGGTTGGATTACTACAATAGACACTTGGGACCCAACAAAAAATGTTTGTTGACTTTTAAGGTCGACCAAGGGGGCAAAGACCAACTGAGGGGAATATTCGCGGACGTGTGGCAACTCAACTCTAGCCTGCGACTTCTCTTCTTGTATCTTTTCCTATAATTCAGAAAAGTTTGATTTCGTGCAACCATTCACAGTAACAGAACCGCCTGAAAAAATGCTTATTTTCCCTTGTGTGACAGTGAACTGTTTGTGGGACAATTCCTTGCGACCAAATGAAAGTAAAACAAATTTTTATCGGCATAAAATGGCTAAATAAAGTTCTAAGGGCCACTAAAACGAGACGGTCTCTTTTTTCTGCTTCAAGGTGCAACAGTTTTTGAAGACTTTAGAGTATGACTTGGAGCGTGGAGTTGGTAGTCGACTAGATTCACTGTTGGGACAATGTATGTACTTTGGTCTGTCATTCAGCCGGGTTGGAGCTGACTTCAGAGGGTTACTTCCTCCACTCTTCCACACGGCTGCAATGAAAGTATTCAGTACAGCGGTGCTTGATGCTACGGAGAGGTGCGTTGTGTTTGCGTGTGTAGAAAGTAGTTGTGAAAAAGATCCCGATTTTCCAAGTCTTTGTTTTAGTTTTTTAAGTCTTGTTTTCATCTTTGGTTATGTATACTATTGGAGCAATATGTTCCCGGGATTGGGCAATTTTATCTGCTTTTGCTATGAATGTTGAGAAAACTACTTGAAATCGTTATTTGCATGTCCCTCAAATTTTGAGATTTGTTGTGGATGTAATATGATCGATTTAATCTCTTTCAAGTGAGTTTCTTTGTTTACTTACTGATCTTTTTTTCTTTGAAATTAAAGGTTTAATGAAACGATGAAGTCGTATTCTCCTCAGTCTCTTTCATCCTCTGTTACGGCCACGATGCTTTCTACAATGACAGCGAAGGTATGTAATGTCTCACTTCTGCAAGATTGGGTTTATGTGGCATTGTAGAACTCAGCAGAGCTGATCGCTCTGCACTTGGCCTCATTTTGAAAGTGAGGGTTTTATGACCTATTAGCTGGATCGTCTCCTTGCATGTCCCTCCGTAAGGGTAAGCTAAATTCCGTCATTGAGATTGAAAGATAAGTAGCACTTCGCTGTAATTCTTCGACCGCCTTTTTAAACAAATGGAAAATTTCCTTATTTAAATTTGTTGGCTTGTATCTGTTTACCTCCAGCTAATCGCTTTGTTAGCTATACGTCGGTCCCCCTTAAAGTTAAAGCATCCACCCTTTCTTCTTTTCCTTTATTATTGAGTGAACAAAACTAAGTAAGTTAACCGAGGTCACGCCTAAATTAAACCTAGATATTTCATGTAACTGTCAGTTTTATCCGTTGTTTTGTAATTACGTAGTTATTTAAAACAGTATTTTTTGTTTTTGTTTTCAGCAATATGTGTGCTTTTCTGTTCTGCAATATAGCATTAAATAAGATTTTATGCAATCCTATTGGCTGGCTTTGCAATTTTAGGTACAACCGAACCGGATTTTTACCGTGGGAGTGCCACAGGCATCCCACGGAATAAAGATAAAAAATAAAAAAAGTGGGGTGTTTACTTGTTATTTTGCTTTCCTCATTAATTGCTTTTGTTTTTATTTTCGTAGCCGGATGATACAGGAGCAGATCTCCATCCTCCCAGCTCTTTGTTACAACATCCACCCCTTGCGGCCTTCACTAACAGTGTTTTATCAGCCTTCAATGAGCTAAGGCATTGCGCGCCATTAGCCCTTGTATCACCTGTCACTGAGGTTCTTCAGTCCTCCTTTGCATCTGTGATACACACCACATGCGCCTTCCACAGGTAAAATATGGAGCTTAAGCAAGAGCGTTTTTGAGCGATGGATGTCAACCGGAAGTGGACTTTTTGCATCATTGGGGAGTTGTTTGGTTGAAACTCTCGGATAAATCGTCTTTATAATAGAAAAGAAAGTCTGAAATACAAATTTGTTAGAGTCAATGCACATATATAGTGAGAAGGCCTCACTTCCGGTTGATGTGCGTCGCTCAAAAACGTCTTTGCTTAAGCTCTTTAATGAATTCTGCATCTTTTGTGGTAATTCTTGGTGTTGCAGACGGTTGCAGGCACCAAGTGACGTAATATAAAAGATCGAGAAGACACTGAACAATACCCACGCCACAACACACAGGCGAACCAACAGTGGTTTGCGCAACACCAAGAAACATTCGCTTTTTGGCGGAGACCTTTGCCGCTACCATGATCAGGGAAAAGAATTTCTTTCCAATGTCTCGGAAAATTTTAGTTCCTGATGAAGACGGTGAGGAGTCATGAAATTATCCTTTCAGGCTGCCCAAGGATTTCATGAAGCCCACATTATCGTCCGGACAAAAATATTCCGTAGCTGATTAAATTTGCTACCCCATGTTATGTAAGAAATGTTCCGAAAAACGTTAAGAGTTAAAAATGTTGAATAGGAATGTTCATTGGCTAAAAAAAGAAGCGGAAGTTAATGTTTACGGGTCAATAAAAATTGCTTGCAGGTCAAAGGAAGTCAACCAGTAGTTAAGAAAATTAATATTATCCGTTCAAGTGGGAAGCAAAAAAAGTGCCTCTTTCGAGCTTCGTATTCCTGATTTCCCGTTCATGATATTTGTCTATCTTTCCTGCAGGCTTTTCTGGGATTGCCTAAAGCTGAGGAGGAATCCGGGTTAAAAAACTGGTTATTTTCGTCACCCTGTTCCTAAACTTATAGAAACCTAGTTCCGGATCTTGTGTCGCTAACGGTCGATAAGCACATCTTTGTTCTCGCGAGCTTACTATCTTCTGCCTTCAAGCTATCGCTAGTAAGGTTTGGTTATCCATCACTTCTTCCTCTGGCCAGTTGCATCATATACTATAAGCCAATCAAATACAACTGTACAGCTGATACTAAATTATGTTAAAAACGTAGCGTTGACAGTTAACCCTGGGAAATTTCTTGTAGAGCGGTGTAATATATCTCATAATCCTTGTTAAAATTCCTATCCTTATATTGGTTTACAGAGCAGAAGCGGCCGCCCTCAATGAATCTGAAAGAGCTACATTTGCAAATTTCTGTCAAGTATTGGGTAAACAGCTTATACCGTACATAAACCGCTGTTTAGAGGCGATTTTTCCGAGTTCTGCACTGAGTGTCGTACAGGGGGGTCCTACTGCAGCCAGTACGTTGCTAAGACTTGACGTTAAGAGATTACATGTACTGTTAGAGCCAGTCATGCCCCAAGAATCCACAGAGGAAGAGGAAAAACCTCGTGGAGAACAAAAGGTTAAGAGCCGCCCTAGCATACCAAAGGATACCACAGGGGAGACGGGACAGCCTCGTCAAGAGAACGAGGCTGAAAGAGAGAAAGAGAAAGAGCAGAAAAACACTGACCAGGAAAAAGAACATCTTACAGAGCAATCTGTGGAGACAGAATCATTGAATGATGGTGGGGAGAAAGTATCAGAGTCTGAACAGCAAGAGCCAGATTTAACTTAGTAGTAAAATAGTTGTAGAAGCCATAATTAGGGTACCTACCATTGGTCAGAAACTGACCGACCACACCCTTCCAGTCGAAAAGAGAATTCCACAACAGTTTAAATTCTCAAAAACGGCCACCTTAGGCTGTTCCAGGATCTCAGATAGTGGGGAAGACACGAAAGTGAAAGGTGCGCGAAAAGTTGGCGGGGCGGGGCGGGAAGGCTCCCCTCCCCTTTTTTTCATGTTCGCGCTTTCTCAATTCAGCGGACCGTACTATCTCGGAGCCTGGAACAGGCCATGGCCTTCTTGGGGACAGGAAAAAGTGACCATTGTAGAGAGGTGGCCGTCGTAGTGAGGTTTAAACAAGAGCCAATGTATGGACTGTCGGCCGAAAAAGTGACCATTGTAGAGAGGTGGCTGTTATTAGTGGACGTTAGACTGTATTAGTCCAGCCAGCCAGATTAGTCAATCTTTAATAGTATGCAAGGCGGAAATGAGTTTTTAACGAAAACGTTCCAAAATAGCGTGTTCCATTTTCAAAACGACCTATATTGCCTTGGCACACTCACAACTTGTTTTCATTTGAGTTGCCGAGTGCAAGGGGCAAAGTACGGCAAACTGCCTCAAACAGTTTTAAACCAGGCTCGCTATGGACCAGTTACAGGCGTCCACCTTAGGTTGTTTTCCGTGCTATAAACAACTTAGTGAGTAAACCAGCCAACCACTGATATTTTTCTTTTAACGCCCGGTTGCTCAACAATGGGATAGCGCTATACAGCGAATAAGTATTAGGGAAATTATATAGAGGATATTACACGGCGGCGCGAAGATGTGAATTTTATTTCGAGTGGCAAAACAATATTTTACGAATGAGCGCAGCGAGTGAGTAAAATATTGTTTTTTGCCACGAGAAAATAAAATTCATATCTTCAAGCCGCCGTGTAATGTTCTTTTTATTATATAGAAAAAAAGACATCGATAAAATAATAGAGGGAAATTACCGAAATTACGTCATCGATAAACTCACGTGTGAGATTATGGAAAATAAACCACTCGGGTCCCGGATGTAGTTTTTATGAATTTTACGAGTGGTATTTTTCCAGTAAAACGCTCGTAATAAATTGTGTTATCCTCTGGTTAGAGATTTACTCAGCGGATAGCACTATCCACCTTTGGAACAACTCGGGATAAGGCTGTAAAGCCAGGGGTGTCTGCAAAGTAAGGGGTGTCTGCAAGCTCAAGGTTTCCCACCTTTAAAGTCCCCAACTTAAGGGGACTTACCCCTCCCCACTTAAGTGTCATTTTGACGGGTGTCTGGTTGTCTGGCCTTTTAAGGCGAATTTCCACTGATGCGTTTTTAGCTACGCACGCTAAAGCACCTAAACTTTAATCACGTAAATAAAATAGAAGCAAGATAAAAAAAAGTGCTGAGCTTAAACGAGAAATTGAGTGAGGTTCAACTTTTACGCTTACGAGCGACCTTTTATGCATTGCCTCTACTTTATTTGCGAACGTAAATTTTACGCACGTACGCAGGTAAAAATTACGCGACACTGGAAAGCATTGTTATTGTCTCCATATAACAGAGCCGGCTTCTACCTTAAACGGGTTTCTGCTTTTCAGTGTCTGTACAGCAATGCCGGGAAAACGCATGTCGTTCCCATAGGTATTAAAAGATTAAAAAAGGAGGAAAGATTTTAGAAACAGAAATAAGATAAGCTGCATCGCTGTGAGAGTAGTGGGTGTTCAGAAAGCTGCAACACGTTATTTAATCACTTTATTCTCTGAAGCGTGTAAAAGATCTTCTTTAAACTGTTAATGAAAAGAATTTTGTAATTTTTACATACTCTTTATTAAAAGAGAAATAAAAACAGAAGGAATATAGTAAAATAGAAGCAGATAATCTGCAACGAAACTACACTAATACTGAAAAGTTGTTATATCATTGTGGTTTAATGCTAATAAAGTGTACGTTCCGGTGATTTAAACTGAAGCTATATTTTTTCAACTCAGCTTGTTATTGTGCAATGTTTATTACGTTCAGACTGAAGGTAATAATCGCAAGGATCCTAACGTTGCTTCTGTTCAGATTGGAACATGAATTGAATCGTATTCGTCCATATCACTGTCATAGACATCTTCTACTTCAGTGTCTAAAGCCTCCAGCTCTTCGTTGGAGAAAAACCGCTCTAAAAGCTTGCGAAGCGGGAACTACGGAGAGGTGCGTTGTGTTTGCGTGCGTAGAAAGTAGTTATGAAAAAGATCCCGATTTTCCAAGTCTTTATTTTATTATTTCAAGTCTTGTTCCCGGGATTCGGCAATTTTATCTGCTTTTGCTATGAATGTTGAAAAAAACTTCATGAAATCCTTATTTGCATGTACTATGAACGATGTAATCTCTTTCAAGTGCGTTTCTTTGTTTACTTACTGATCTTTTTTCTTTGAAATTAAAGGTTTATTGAAACGATGAAGTCGTATTCTCCCCAGTCTCTTTCATCCTCCGTCACGGCCACGATGCTTTCTACAATGACATCGAAGGTAAGTAATGTCTCACTTCTGCAAGACTGGGTTTATGTGGCGTTGTAGAACTCAGCAGAGCTTATCAGTTTTTGAGCTGCCTTTGGCGGAATGGGCATAGTTGTCTACTTAGGTTGAGAACTTTTGAGCAATTTGATAACATTGGGTATATGAACAACTAGGAAAACTCAGCGTTCTAACAACTGGCCACCACGTGTCCCACTGCTTCAAGCAATTAGGGTTTCTTCTCCCGGTTTTGATTGTAAAATGTGTCATTCATTTGGTAAAGGAAAAAAATCCCCTCAAGGTTTCAAAGTATTAAGATGTGATAGGTATATCCGTAAGTAGTGATAGCACCTAGCACGTATTCTTGGTTTTTTTTTGGCACCGCTTTTTTTTTTTTGCTGATGATTGGTCCACTGTATCTGCTTTGATTGGCCTAAGTTCTATTCCCCACTCCAGAAACTATTAAGGGAAATGGGTACAAGCTTTCGGCGCATCGATTTCTGGGACCGTTTGGGTGGACAAGCGTTGCTTGTGATTGGTTTATGGTTGCCTTGAATACCATCGACCAATCATCAAACGAGCCAAGAAATCACTGCATTCAATGCTTGTACCCATTCTCTCTAGAGTTTCTAAAGTGGGGAGTCATATCTACTCGCGCAAATAGGCCTTTCCCGAGTTCTCCTCAGCCTCTGTATCAAAACGAGGTGAAGTGCACAACCTGTGATATGGAAATGATTTTCCATTCTCATGCAGATCAAACTCATTTCCGTTCTGCACTTGGCCTCATTTTGAAAGTGAGGGTTTTTGGAACTCGGAAGTGACCTATTAGCTGGATCGTCTCCTTGTATGCCCCTCTGTAAGGGTAAGTTAAATTCTGTCATTCAGATCGAAAGATAAAGAGCACTTCGCTGTAATTCTTCGACCGCCTTTTCAAACAAATTGAAAATTTCCTTATTTAAATTTGTTGGCTTGCACCTGTTAACCTCCAGCTAATCGCTTTGTTAGCTATACGTCGGTCCCCTATTTAAGTTAAAGCATCTACCCTTTCTTCTTTTCCTTTATTATTGAGTGAACAAAACTATGTAAGTTAACCGAGGTCACGCCTAAATTAAACCTAGATATTTCATGTAACTGTCAGTTTTATCCGTTGTATTGTAATTACGTAGTTATATAAAACAGTATTTTTTGTTTTTGTTTTCAGCAATATGTGTGCTTTTCTGTTCTGCAATATAGCATTAAATAAAGATAAAAAATAAAAAAAGTGGGGTGTTTACTTGTTATTTTGCTTTCCTCATTAATTGCTTTTGTTTTTATTTTTGTAGCCCGATGATGCAGGAGCAGATCTCCATCCTCCCAGCTCTTTGTTACAACATCCACCCCTTGCGGCCTTCACCAACAGTGTTTTATCAGCCTTCAATGAGTTGAGGCATTGCGCGCCATTAGCCCTTGTCTCACCTGTCACGCAGGTTCTTCAGTCCTCCTTTACATCTGTGATACACACCACATGCGCCTTCCACAGGTAAATAGGGAGCTTAAGGAAGAGCGTTTTTGAGCGACGGACGTCAACCGGAAGTGGACTTTTTGCATCATTGGGCAGTGGTTTGGTTGAAACTCGCGGGTAAATCGTCTTTATTAGAGAAAAGAAACTTAGCAATACAAATTTGTTAGAGTCAAGGCATATAAAAAGGGAGAAGGTCTCACTTCCGGTTAACGTGCGTTGCTCAAAAACGTCTTTGGCTAAGCTCCTTAATGAATTCTGCATCTTTTGTGGTATTTCTTGGTGTTGCAGACGGTTGCAGTCACCAAATGACGTAATATAAAAGATCGAAAAGGCACTGAACAATACCCACGCCACAACACACAGGCGAACCAACAGTGGTTTGCGCAACACCAAGAAACATTCGCTTTTTGGCGGAGACCTTTGCCGCTGCCATGGTCAGGGAAAAGAATTTCTTTCCAATGTCTCGGAAAATTTATTTCCTGATGAAGACGGTGAGGAGTCATGAAATTATTCTTTCAGGCTGCCCAAGGATTTCATGAAGCCCACATTATCGTCCGGACAAAAATATTCCGTAGCTGATCAAATTTGCTACCCCATGTTAAGTAAGAAATGTTCAGAAAAACGTTAAGAGTTAAAAATGTTGAATAGGAATGTTCATGGGCTAAAAAAAGAAGCGGAAGTTAATGTTTACGGGTCAATACAAATTGCTTGCAGGTCAAAGGAAGTCAACTAGTAGTTAAGAAAATTAATATTGTCCGTTCAAGTGGGAAGCAAAAAAAGTGCCTCTTTCGAGCTTCGTATTCCTGATTTCCCGTTCATGATATTTGTCTATCTTTCGTGCAGGCTTTCCTGGGATTGCCTAAAGCTGAGGAGGAATCCGGGTTAAAAAACTGGTTATTTTCGTCACCCTGTTCCTAAACTTATAGAAACTTAGTTCCGGATCTTGTGTCGCTAACGGTCCATAAGCACATCTTTGTTCTCGCGAGCTTACTATCTTCTGCCTTCAAGCTATCGCTAGTAAGGTTTGGTTATCCATCACTTCTTCCTCTGGCCAGTTGCATCATATACTATAAGCCAATCAAATACAACTGTACAGTTGATACTAAATTATGTTAAAAACGTGGCGTTGACCGTTAACCCTTGGAAATTTCTTGTAGAGTGATATAATATATCTCATAATCCTTGTTAAAATTCCTATCCTTATATTGGTTTACAGAGCAGAAGCGGCCGCCCTCAATGAATCTGAAAGATCTACATTTGCACATTTCTGTCAAGTATTGGGTAAACAGCTTATACCGTACATAAACCGCTGTTTAGAGGCGATTTTCCCGAGTTCTGCACTGAGTGTCGTACAGGGGGGTCCTACTGCAGTCAGTACGTTGTTAAGACTTGACGTTAAGAGATTACATGTACTATTAGAGCCAGTCATGCCTCAAGAATTCACAGCGGAAGAGGAAAAACCTCGTGGAGAACAAAAAGTTGAAAGCCGCCCTAGCATACCACAGGATACCACGGGGGAAACGGAACAGCCTCGTCATGAGAACGAGGCTGAAAGAGAGAAAAGGAACGAGCAGAAAAACACTGACCAGGAAGAAGAACATCTTACAGAGCAATCTGTGGAGACAGAATCATGGAATGATGGTGGGGAGAAAGTATCAGAGTCTGAACAGGGAGAGCCAGATTTAACTTAGTAGTAAATAGTTTTAGAAGCCATAATTAGGGTACATACCATTGGTCAGAAACGGACCGACCTCCCCTTTTTTCATGTTCGCGCTTTCTCAATTCAGCTCACCCGACTATCTCGGAGCCTGGAAAAGGTTAGGGCCACCTTGGGGACAGGAAAAAGTGACCATTGTAGAGAGGCGGCCGTCGTAATGAGGTTTAAACAAGAGCCAATGTATGGACTATCGGCCGAAAAAGTGGCCATTGTAGAGAGGTGACTGTTAGTTGAGGTTAGACTGTATTAGTCCAGCCAGCCAGATTAGTCAATTTTTAATAGTATGCAAGGCAAAAATGATTTTTTAAGGAAAACGTTCCAAAATAGCGTGTTCCATTTTCAAAACGACCCATATTGCCTTAGCACACTCACAACTTGTTTTCATTTTAGTTACCGAGTGCAGGGGGCAATAAACGGCAAACTGCCTCAAACAGTTTTAAACCAGGCTCGCTATGGACCAGTTATAGGCGTCCTCCTCGGGTAGTTTTCCGTACTATAAACAACTTAATGAGTAAACTAGCCAACCACTGATATTTTTCTTTTAACGCCCAATTGCTCAAAAATGGGATGGCGCTATCCATCGAATAAGTTGCTATACAGCGAATAAGTATTAGGGAAATTATATTGTGTTATCCTCTGGATAGAGATTTACGCAGCGGATAGCACTATCAACCTTTGGAACAACTCGGGCCAAGGCTGTAAATCTTACAGGGGTGTCTGCAAAGGGGTATCTGCAACCTCAAGGGTTCCCACCTTTAAAGTCCCCAACTTATGGGGACATACCCCTCCCCACTTAAGTGTCAATTTGACGAGTGTCTGGTTGACGGTGTTCTGGTTGGCTACCCACGCTAAAGCACGTAAACTTTAATCATGTAAATAAAATAGAGGCAAGATAAAAAGTGCTGAGCTTAAAGGAGAAGTTGAGTGAGGTTCAACTTTTACGCTTACGAGCGACCTTTTATGTATTGCCTCTATTTTATTTGCGAACGTAAATTTTACGCACGTACGCACGTGAAAATTACGCGACACTGGAAGCGTGTGAAAGATCTCCTTTAAACGGTTAATGAAAAGAACTTTGTAATTTTTACGTACTCTTTATTAAAATAAAAACAGAAGGAATATAGTAAAACAGAAGCAGATAATCTGCAACGAAACTAGACTATTACTGAAAAGTTGTTTAAGCTAATGAAGTGTACGTTCAGGTGATTTATACTGAAGCTATATTTTTTTAACTCAGTTCGTTATTATGCAATGTTTATTACGTTCAGATTGAAGGTAACAATCGCAAGGATCCTAACGTTGTTTCTGTTCAGATTGGAACATGAATTGAATCGTATTCGTCCATATCACTGTCATAGACATCTTCTACTTCAGTGTCTAAAGCCTCCAGCTCTTCGTTGGAGAAAAACCGCTCTAAAAGCTTGCGAAGCGGGAAGACAATGCGGTGGCCAGGATCATTTCTGAAACTCCCATCCATTGATCAGTCTTTTCGCTTAGCAAACCACCAAAAGTGATTGCCGGCGCAAGGCACGCAAAGTAAACGAAGATAATTGTCGGTAAACAATGAACATCTAAAGCGTCTTTAAAATCGCTGACATAGAAAGGTAGCCTCCTCTTTATATCGCGTATGAGTCCACCACAAAATGTTCCTGTTCTAGCAAGAGGATCGTTGGAGGCCTCGTTTTCTTGAATTACCTCGCGGAAGATGTTCTCTTGCACCCCCTGGCTGTCTGTACTCCCACCACGCCTTCTTCTGCATGACAGTGCTTTAGCCTGATTGGCCAATATGGGCACCGTTTGATTCAATAGGTTTCGATCCCAATCCCCTGGCGGGATGATGAGACAATCGCCCATGTAGCAGTACAAAGAATCCAGCAGATCTTGTTTGCTCTAAGGTAGAAAAGAATAAGTTAGAAATATGGACGCTAACACTTCTTAACATAAATTACAACAATGAAAATATTAAAAGTAAAAATTAGAGTAATGGCTGCCACGAAAAAAGCGTCTATACTCTCTCAATAGCTGGTTTAAAGCTCCATGGAGTGTTTAAAAAAGCCCCTACAGACGGGTAAAATGCTACTGATCTCATCTGAAGACACGGAGTAGCACTCAAGGCTCGTGGGCAATGATTGGTGGGATTGGAAAAGAGTTTCACCGTCGCGCTGACTGTCACGTGTACAGACCCGTCCCGCGTTCCCCTCCAATGAACAAACACAATAAAACGCACGAGGTCGAGGCTTGGCTTGACAATTCATACAAGATCATAAAAATTACTGTTATTTGTTACCCCAAGCCTCGGGTTTAGGCTTTGTTCACAGGAATGCGAGGACGATCTACTGCACGTGCTCGAAGACATAAATTTAAGTTTTAAAGGGCTTCCGTCCCTCGTGCAGCGCCTCTTACATAAAGTGCATTAAAATCATCTTAAAAAGAGGAAGTGCTGTGATAACCGACTTTATTGTAACCCTGTACCAAAGTACACACTGTTTGTTTTCATTATTTTGTATTATCCAGATTAAGTACCTGAATCCCGTTTACTTACTCATTGAGGATGCTTTAAGAAGAGTAATAAGCTCGATACCGTTTGGGAGGTGAGCAATTTTAAAGTTACCCTCAAATTCCACAGTGCAAACCTAGACTTTATATCGGGGTTTGAACGCCGTTTGATCTTAAGCTTTGTTAACACTCCACGGTACAGCTTTTCGTGCCGACAAGAAAAACCAATTGGTATAGTATGCCGAACAGCAATCTGATCGATATGTGACTCACCACTTTGGAGATCGGTGCGGCAAAATCACCATAAGCAGTGGGGGATCCCAACTTTCAGGTAAGGCGGGGGGGGGAGGTGTCGGTCATCCAGACCCTGAGATAAGGGGGGCGGTCTCAAGAAAATGTTTTTTTAGCACTTCGGGCCTCATTTTGATCTTAAAAGGGGTGGAGGGGGGAGCCGGGCTCCCTGGGCTCCTCCCCTGGATACGCCACTGGTTAGTATGTGTGAATTGAAGCCCTATATCCGGTGTGGTTTTCATGCCGGCGCTAAAGTTTTCCGGTATAGTATGAACATAGCCTTAGGCACAATTTTGCGTACCTGGGGAGAATGGGGGACTATTTGGGGTGAAGGGGAGGGGGAGGGGTGCACACCTAACGCGTACTACACACATTTCATTGAAAAACGATTTTTTTTACTCCTCTTACCTTTGCTCGATATGCTGACTCAAGGAAAATTTTATCAGACATCAGCGTTGAAATAGAGCGTCCAACCTCATGATAATCAACGTTATCATCATCAGGTCCAAGAAGTACAAACATGAATCTTACAGGGATGTTTACCTCAGCAAAGTTCCCCAGTTCACAGCCAAAAGCGAGTCTCACAAAAGCGCTGACAGCGCAGGACAAACCATTGTGAGCTCCAACTAACACTGTAGTGGCCTGCGCATCGGCGGGAATTTTATTTCTGATGTCGGACTTCTCTATGCGTTCTTCAGTTTCGAAGTCTTCTCCACAGAAGCTCGTCACGGGGATTGCTAATTCGGTTACATTTGCATGTGACTGCGGTTCTGTTTTAAGCGGGGGTAGCAACACTGATTTAGTTTTAATGCCTACCCGTGGTCTGAAAATAAAACAAAAGCTTTCTGTTTATTAGATTATCGTTATGGTTAGTAATAGAGAGTTAAGTATCACGTTTACGTCAAACGGCAAACGCGAATTTGTACCACGTGACCAAGTTTCCTCTTTACTTTTCGTTTACTGTTCATTAATTCTACACCTAAATTAGTAGTTTTATGCAATTTTTTAATCCTTAAGAATTGTTTTGAGCTGTTTTTATCTGCTCATTTTCTATTTTGAGAAATTCTCAAGTTGAATCTGACGTTTGCCGTGTACATGGTCTTCACTTCTACAGCCTTTCCAAACATGATTGATCATTCACAGGCTGAACAAGAAAAAAACACCCTCGAGAAAGAACAACTAGCATGGTCTCGCAGTCTCTTCTTTCAAAAAAAAAAAAACCGGGGTCACAAAAATTGTGTGAATAGCAACTTTCCAAGGTATTCCTATCTTACGCGAGGTATTACAATTAAGGTGGTGTCAGCGCACAGTTTGTCACTGAAATTTATAAACATCTTTTAGGTTGCTTATTAATCATTCGGCGTCTACAAACGATTGCCTTAATACCGCGTATTATAGGCTCCTAATATGACCGGCCGATGTCACATTGAGCTTCGTCTATTACATAGTTCATCCACCGCATTCTGAAGGCTGGTTTCACTATCTAGCGATCTAGTCGATCGGATCGAGTCGGAAGAAGCATAGAGCGTCATGATCTAGTGAAAACAACTTTTGTATCCGCTTACGACTCAGTTGCTTACGATCTAGTGAAAACTAGGTTCAAGTCGGATTCACCACCAGAAGCTGAAGAACTTCGGCCCCTTCCACACGTAACCGGATATTTTTGAAAACGTAGGTTTTTTCTTCTTTTTACCTCACCGTTCACGTGTAAACTGCGTTTCGGGCACCGGAAACGCTACTTTTCAAGAACGGTCACCAGAGTGGAGATTTTTGAAAACGCCGGCTTCCCGTAACCGTGTCTACCAAGGATGCTATCGTATTTCCGTCATTTTAGTGTTTTCAGGTGGACCGGCGAAAACGATTTAAATACGCTACGTGTGGAAGCTTACCATTTCTCAGAACTGAGAAACCTGAAAGCATGGCAACGAGCATTGTGATTGGTTTATCATTCCGCTTCAAGTTCCGACTCCGACAATTTGGTTTTCACTAAATCGTAAGCGACGAAGTTATGAACAGAGTCGGGAGAAAACAGGAACGTTCTGATTCTTCTGACCGACTCCGAAACCGTCTCCGCAAAAGACTCCGCGACTCCGAGTCCGTCGCTCGTGAAAACCAATGTTAACAGGTTCATGCGGCAGATACGTTTTGTTTTGGTGTATATGAGTGTGTTTATTACGGGTAAACAATTTAGCGCATTAGATTGTCTCAAGATAAATAAACTACCAAGAGAAAAACCTCTACTTACATTGAATCCGACTCGGATTCATATTTACTTTCAGAGCTAGAAGCCTTTTCCATAACGCTTGACAAGTGACCTTTATGCCCACTCGACGGTGGTCTTGGGCGTTGCCCTTGAGGGATAATCCTCGAAAGGCGGCGGGCAAAGGCGTTGGTGCGAGGCTTTCTTTGTTGGTACTGATGTTGATGTCTTGTTAACAGGAGAGCTTTCACTGCGTCACATTCCTCGTCCGGTAACTTCTTCAATAATTTGATCTCGTTGATAATAGCATCACAAATGGAGGGCAAGCTACTGCTCTGAAGATCCAGATGGATTATTCCATTTTGGAGGTTTGTTTCAACTTCCCTTAAGCTACGAAATGTAAGGCAAGGAATGTGAGGTTTCCCCCAACGATTCGCACATTCTTCAACGTCCTCTTCGAGTTTGATCCACCGCGCGCGTTCTTTCCAAACTAATTCATTGTCGCTACTGACAAGCTCTTCTAACTCCACAAAGCCTTCATGAAAAGACTGAATTGAAACCCTTTTAGATGAACCATGATACGAGTCCATGTTAGTAACGTTGCTGATTTATACGATATTTTCGCCGCCCTTCCATTTTGTTTCGCATCGGGCGTCTATACTGAACTAGATCATCCATGTGATTATGACGTCACTAATTTTTCATTATCTTCGTACATCCGTCGATCCAGTGACAGTTGTCTGATCACTATCAAAACAATTAAATCATTCAAGAAATATAGTGGACGCTAAACCTTATCGTTTCAACGTTCAAGAAGACGCGAATTTTGCAAAATGATCCTGACAAATTTTGTTGCGAGAGTGTAATGAAAATCTCTAAACAAAACATTTTGTACAGAAGCATCGAAACACTTTTGCACAATTTACTGCTTAAATTTTAACCCGGTGAACTTCTCGCTTTCATTTTAGGAATAGGACAGTTTGTTTTCGTTTCTTTACTAACTTGTTTGTGGACAAGAGCAGTTTGCTTTGAACGAGGTTTTTTTCCCGCGCGAGTTATCTTAGTTGCGCAAGCAATTCAGGTTAATGTTTAAAAGTCATTTCTCCTTTACGGAGTTGTGATAAAACTTTAATCAGCTTCAAAATTAATTAAGACTTCTGCAGCAGTAGATGAAGGGGGAATCCCATTAAAGACTGCATGTTTTTCCGGCCAAAATTGTTTAAAAGCAATGCTCGAGCAGTTGATTAGGTCGTGATGTAATAGCACGCGCACAAGGGACATTCCAGAACAGTTCTTCAACGACTGTAAACGACTTTGATTCGTTAATCCAGTAACCAAACCAAATAAGGCTAACGACACCACATATAGTAAACAAATCAACACTTGTAACAAAACGGAGCCTGAGCGCGTTTAAACTTTGGTATACTCCTAATGTATACAAATGTTTAACGGGGCCGACAACTTGGTCTCTCTAAAGGAAAAGTGCGGCTGAACGATCTGAGAACTGACATGCTACCCTTCAAAGAACACTAAGTTTTCAATTACAGTGTTTTTGACTTAAAAAGGTCTGAAGCCTACAAAACCACTGAGTATGGGGTCTCTTTCTGAAAAGCCACAATAAAATAACCATGCACAGAACAATTAACTGAGTGAAGAATTTATTTCATAACTCTAGTGTAGTATAATATTAAGAAGCATGGCGATTTGTAGTTAAATAACTTTAGTCCACGTTGCTGAAATCGCTATCACTTCCGGATCCTGAATAAGAGAAGAAAAACAACCGATTAGTAAAAAAAGGGAACAATCCGGCTTATAAACCACAAAGACGTAAAAATAACGTTTCTTAATAGAGAAACTGTGCTACAAAGTATTTTGTATATTTCTTTACAAGAACAGGTCATTTCCTTGTTACACCAGGCGTCTGTTTCGAAGTGAGGCTAAGTACGAAAATATTGATACGAAAATAATTTTTTATTGCCATGCAAATAAAACTCATTTTCGAAAGAAAGGTTTTGCACTTAGCCTCGTTTTGAAAGTTAGAGTTTTCAGAACTCGTTAAAGGCCTCAGTATTGACACTTGCAAACACTCCCAATGCAAGCTAAGTAGTTTGCTGTCAAGTGACAATAAATTGTCGAATTTGCGGCTTTCAAACATAATTACCCTGCTCACTGCTAGTTTCCCCGCTGAATTTTGGTTCATTTTCCTGAACGTCACCAACTACATCATCCACGTCGAATACTGAAAAAAAAAAGAGAATTCTCGATCAGAAACTTTTCCGCAGTTAAGTCAGAAACAAGCTTACAAGTTTACATGTTCCCGCAAGCGTAGCTATTTGTTATATTCCCTGCTAGCAGAGGTATCCCACGGCAAGAGAAGAAGGAGAGGAAAGAGAGAGATTTCTGCCGGCCTCCGATGCGTTTTCTATGACACATGCACTGGCGTTTCCTTAACAACCTGTAACGTTTTAGTCACATTGCGACATAACTTACAGAACCGGTTTGCGTGATAACAACTGTGGGCTCAGAAAATTCCAGCGTGCAATCTTAACAGGGCCAGGGCTGTCAAAATGTTTTTAAGTAGCAGGCTGATAATGAATAGTAGGCGGCTTTGGAACTCGCACCAAAGGCACAAGTTCTTGAAGGCCAAGGCATCTAGGGACATTTTGAAATATAGAGTCTCGCAAATCGTGTTTCCAGGGGTTTTCAAGAAGTATTTTCCACCACGGACGCCATGCTGTTTCGTAGGCATTTTCACGTCGTGGTCGTGCAGTGGCGGCAAAGAAATGAACAAAAAAGCGTGATGCACGAGCAAAGTTGTTGTTTTACTCTAAACCTGTTTTTTATTTTTGCCGTTCTCGTCGCTGTCGCCGTCGTCGTTGCCCAAGCTACCTATTTCGCAAGTGCGCAGCGTTTCGTTTTATTTTAGTCCCAGTCCTTTATCATACCTTGGTGATCCAATGAGTGGGATTCCTGAGGTTCACTAGCGACAGTAAATCTCTGATCCTCTCCTAAAAGAAAGATGACAAATAAGAAGTCAGTATACTAAAAGACTTGGATAGACGCAAGAATTCAGTTGATGATTAATATTGTTCAAGAAGCTCCTAGCATTTGCGTCCATCGAATGAAAGATAATGAGCATTGGCCTACTTAGAAGTAGTTTTTGATCGAGATATTGTGCGAAAAGTTTGTTTCTCTCGTCCCAACTTTCTCGAAGAACTCGCGCGGAAACGCTTGGCACGCAGGCGAATTGAGCGTTACCTTCCTTTCGAACCTTTTTTTTAATGCTTTACAGGCTGGCTCTAACTCACGAGTCGGTGGTCGAAATTTTTGAAAGGTTTACTTTTCAAAAATGGTCACTGCACATTACTTTGTTGTGGTGCTGTTTGATATTCTGTAAAATGTTGTTCTACCCAAGTTTCGAGTCGGCGGATAAGTCTAAAAAAGTTTTAGCATCACAGTGTGCGTCGACAACTCGTGACAGTAAAATTTATTTCAACTGATAAACTTATAGGTCGATGG